CGCACGGTAGCTCATCCAGTTTGTTGAGTAGTTGCACTACTGTACTACCTTATTCTTCTTTGGGAAAAATCTCGTCATTTTCGACGTGTGGCCGTGAGCCACCGACAAAAATTCTTGACTTTCTTTACATTGGGGGTGTGCGTGATGCCACGAATGCGGAATTTTTGCGTCGAGAGAATATTGTAACTATTCTTAATGTATCGCGTGAGGAATATTGGTCTGTTGATCGCAGCATTGTTATTCATCCATTTGCAGTGGATGACACCACCGAGGCAAACATTCAGCAGTTTTTTCGCCCAACCCACGTAATCCTTGAGCAAGTCCGTAAAGCGTACTATGATGCCAAGCAACGTGGCGCGAGTGTTTGTCCCCGCGCTCTGGTGCACTGCCAACGCGGGAAGAGCCGCTCCGTCACCATTGTGCTCGCCTATCTGATCTACCGCAACGGCTGGACAGTAGCAGAGGCGCTGCAATACGTCACACGCCGGCGGCCTCGCGTGGAACCAAATTTGGGTTTTATTGACGCGCTTCGGGCGTATCAGGAGTCGATGGACGTGGAGGAGCGAACGCGACGCTGCAGTTCACTCGGTCTTGCCGTGCGTAACCTTCCACGAGATACGGCGTCGTCGTTTGTTCACAAGTTCTTTGAGGATCATGTTGGTTGTGTGCAGGAGGTGATGATGCACTCCTCCCGACCGAACCAAAGCCGTAACATCGCCGCTCCCAATACCAACGGCGTTGACCAGGGCAAGCGCGGCAACGACGACAATGACCCTCCCGCCTCCTTCGGGCTTTCAGGCAGGAGGGACGGCAACAGTAGCAGCGGCATCGCTGTCAAAACTTGCAGCAACGATGCCGATGGCAATACGTTGTGCCTCGTTTTCTTCTCTGCGGCGGAGTGTGTGCGGCTGGCCAAACTGTTATACATGCGACGGCCTGAGCTCTTCAATGTGCTCGGTGTCGTGGATGGTAAAGAGTTGCGGCTCACGATCCCCAGCAAACTGATAAGACTGTCGAGAACAGCACACGCCCATTGCGATGATGGTGACAACACCCGAAGCAAGAAGTCTTCTCAGGGGGAGGAGGACACGCCGAAGGGAGACGCGGAAAAAAACGACGCAGGGACATAAACTATTGAGCTCAAAAAGCAACGACCGGTAAAAAGCAAAGGAAACAACAAAAGCCGAAAAAAGAAAAATAAGAAAAAAAGGGAGCGGAGCGCAACTCGCAGGGAATTAAAGGGAAAAAAAAGGGGTGGAGAAGAGGCAAAAAAATGCACCAAAGGAAATAAACTATATATATATATATATTTTAAGAAGAAGAATAGTAAAAACAATGAGGGATGGCGGCGAATTGGGAATGAAAACAAATCGATGGATAAATTTTGATTTTTGTAGGTAATTAGTCACATACTTATATATATATAATTATGTGTGTGTGTGTGTGTTTGTGTACTTACGTGTTTATTTTTAGAAGCATCTACACCCCTTTCAATACGTAAAGTACATATGTATTGGCAAATATAATATGCTCATTTACATTATAAATGTTATAGATTAAAAAATACGGAGAGAAACACGCAGAGAGAGAGTATTAAAGGAAAATAATAAATAATAACAAACCCCTTGCCCCTTCTTATATATATATATATATATATATATATATATATATTGCCCACCCACCCCCACACACACACATACTTCTAAGCATACACTTAGACACACACAAGCACAGTGAATTCTTGGCGATTCATTCCTTGAATATTATTTACATTGAAGCATTCGTTATAATATTCTTTTCTTTTTTTTTTTTTTTCCATTTTTTTTCACGATGTTTTTTTTTGTTTCATAGCTGCTTGTTTTTGTTGTTTTTGTTTTGTTTTGTTTTTACCCGTTTTCCATTTCAATTAGTCCATTTTGTTTTTGTTTTTTGTTTTTTTTTTTTTTTTCCTTTTGTTTTATGGTCACGTGTATTTGTCGTAGTGGTGCTGTTGGAGTGGGGGATGTGTGTGAATGTGTGGGGTAGTCGGGGGTGGGGGTTGTGGTTTATTTACTCAAAGACTGCGTGTGTGTTAATGAGTCGGAAAAATACTTGTCTCTCTGTACATATATATATATGTACGTGTATGTACATGTATCTATTTACATGTATATAATGTAATTGTATCAATTGTGGCATGCCTGCAGAAAAGTTATGATGAAACCCCTTTTTTTTTTTTTTTTTTTTTGTGTGTGTGTTATTTATTTTGTCTCTTCTTGTGTACGTGGATGTATGCGTGTATCCCTTACACCGAATTTTTCTTGTTGTTTGTTTGTTTTTTAATTTGGGTTATCGATTGGACTTTTTCTGCTTCTTGTTGTCTGTCACTTTTGTGATCATGCCGTTATATTTGGGTTGAATTGCGTGTGTTTTATTTTTATTTTGAGGATGTGCATGTCTCTTTCTCTCTGTTTATCCCTCTTTCTTTTCTTTATTTCTCTGTATTTATGTATGTACGTTTTTCTCCTGTTAAATGGTGGTTGACATGTTGTTTTCATTTCCTTTTCCTATTGCCATCACTGTGAACGATGAGCCCCATCCCTCTTTTTGTTTGTTTGTTTTTGTTTTTTTGTTTTGTTTATTTGTCCCTATTTTTTTTGTTGTTTTTGTTTTTGTTTTTGTTTTTATTTTTATTTTTATTTTTACTGGTCTGTTGGTTATATATATTATATATTATGTTTGTGCCGTCCTCTGCTTTTATTTGTGATCTTCTTTTTTTTTTTTTTATTTCTGTTGCGTGCAACTATTACATGGCGCCTCTCCCCTGTCTGTATTTCTGTCTCTGTCCCTTCTTCCCGTCCCCACTTCCGTCCCTCTGCGTGGGGGGTTGTGGCTGCCGCCTCCTTCAACCGAGGGGTGAGGCGCACCCACAGTAGAGGGAATGTGAAGAAGATGTGTCGCTGCTATCATCACCATCACCGTTGTTGGTGGTTTTTACCCATTCTTTTTTTTTTTTTTCCGGGTGTGTGTGTGTGTGACCCGTTTCTTTGCCTTCCTGTCTCTCTCGCTCTCCCTTACCGCGAGTACTTTTGGGGGGTGGAGGTGGTGAATGGGTAAAATAATACGGAGAAAGAGGATTTGTATGAGATAATAATAATAATAATAATAATAATAATATATCCATCTATAAATATATATATATTATAATATTATATATATTGTATGTATGTATGTATCCTGTTCAAATGGAAGATATCCCTTTCATGTAGGGCTTTACTTGTATCCACCATGCATTTGTGAGCGTGTAAAAAGTGATGGGATTATTATTATAAATATATTGATTTACTCAATATTTTTTTTTTTTGTTTTTTCTTTTTTTCTTCGATTTGTCATTATTTTTGTCATTTGTTTTTTTTTTTTTGGTTTGCTGCGCACGAGAGTGCCGTGGGAGAGGGAGGAGGAGGGGGGACGAGAGGTACGGCATGCACACACAATGACATGTGCGCATGGGTGGGTGATGGGGCCACGGCACGTGTGCTCGCATAAATGGAAGTGCGCCATCACGCAGATGGAAGGGGGTGGGAGGGAATTAATTTGGAGGCATCAGTAATAATCGTCACGCACACACAAATAAACAGACAGACAGGGAGAGAGAGAAAGAGAGACAGACAGACATGTACGCTAAGACCCACGAGACACGGAATGGAAAGAGGTGGGGCGAGGGATGGGAATGAAAGAAGCAAAGGGAGGAAACGCAGCACGAAGCAAATTGTGCTGCGAGGTTTGTGTGGGTGGGAATGCTTGAATACCGATCATATTTGATCATTTTTAGTTTTAAAACGGACATGTAATTCATTCAGAATTGAATTCTGTTGGTTTTTTGTTTTGTTTTGTTTTGTTTTTCCACCTTCATTCTTTATTTTGTTAGTTTTTCATTGGTTTATTCCGTTTTATTGTTGCTTTTGATTATTATTATTATTATTATTATGTTGTTGTTGTTGTTTTCCTTATTGTTCGTGGGTATTCTTATGTGTGTACGTGTGTGGATGCATGTCTGCATGCCATCTGTTTACATCCTGCTTTTATGTATGCAACCTTCCTTTTATTTTTTTCTTTTTTTTTTTTTTGCTTTTTGCTTTTGGCTGTGTTGGAGCAGGACCTCCACCGAGAGAAGGTGGAGGGGAAGGGGTGGAGGGGGGCGTGCTGAGAATAGGACCATTCTTTGCACACAATACACCCACTTATAAACAATACACATATATTTATATATCTACAATCCTGCCGCTGGAGAAGGGTTGGTGGTGTGAGTGACGGTGAGGATGACGACAGAGACGGACAACTTCCTGCATGCCACGCCATCGTCGGCAAAAAGCTACCCAACGTACACGCCACCGCCCCCGTTACCCTCACGGAATTCCGTGAGAACCTCGTCCACGGCAACGCGGCGGACGTTTCACGATGAGTGCGACGAAGTGATTCGATTAATCCGTGAGGATACGCTGGCGGCATCCCCGTCAGAGAGAGCAATTGGCGGCGTGTGCGTGTCACGCGTCTCAGCGCATGAAAAGTACCGGGCGATATTAGATGAGGTGGAGCACCTTAACAGACTCCTGGAGGTGACCGTCGAGGAGCGAGTTGACGTGCAGGGGGAACTGCAGGGAAAGTTGACGCAGATGGGAATTTCTCTTCGTGCCCGTGAAAGGGAGCTGCGGCAGAGGGACGAGGAACTCTTGCATCTCCGCGGTGCTGTGGAGGCTATGAGAACGCAGCTGGAGGCACTTCACCGCACGCGGCAGACGGAGACGCAAACCACCCGCGCGGCGAGTGGCAGCGAGAGTCTCCGCGATGCCGTCGTCCACCGGGATGGCGGTGACGGAGTCCCAAGCGCGGCCACTGATGCCGCCACAAGAAAAGAAACCTCAAAGAAGACGACGAAGTACATTGCGCAGAGATCGCTGAGGTGGCTTAAGTTCCTGGTGAAACGTTGCTTCTTCTTCGACGAAGGGGCGAATGGAAAATTAACGCAACTTATGAATCTGCTGAATGACTTGGAAGAGTATAGTGTTGAGCCGCGCCAGGAGGCCCACGCGGTGCGGTCGTTGTGCACACAAGTGTCTAACCGTCTAGTGGATCTCGTTTTAAGAGGCGCCAATGAGTGGCGTTTATTAGACCGTGATGTATCGGATCTGCAAACCTCCACGGAACGGCATTTCTCCCACGATCAGGAAGATTTTCTTCGGCGACGTGTTGCGGAGCTGAAGGTAGAGCGAGATACTCTCAAGCAGGAGGCAGTTGCCATCGCAGAGGAAAATCTGCAACTAATGAGTGAATTGAAGTCACGAGAAATTGCCGCACCTCGCACACCGTCACCGTCAGCACGTGTGGAGCAATTGGAGGCGCAGAATGCCATATTGTTGGCGGAGCGGAACCGGCAGGCCGTCCATATCGATGAGCTCGAGCAGAAGGTGAGGGCTCTGGAGGATGAAAAGAATGCAATGCACCTCAATTTGGTTCAGCAAAGAGAGTTACTGAAGCGACATGAACGTGTTCTTCACTTTATTTCGCGGCATGAGTGGGGTGAGAGAAGTGACAGTAGTGGAGGCGAAGGCAGCGGCAGTGGTCGAGTACACACAACCGTGGCAAAGTGAAGCGCTTCACCTTCCGAGTTTGTTTGTTTGTTTGTTTTTGTTGTTGTTTTTTTCGTACTTCTCTCATTTTATTGGTGCAGATATCTGCCTCATTTTTCTATCCGTCTATATGTCTGTGTGTGTGTCTGTGTATGTAATAGAAAGTAAACAGGTATACATGGACTCTTTCAAAACATTCTTTTTTTTTTTTTTTTACTTTCTTTGGTTTTCTGCCAATATGTATTTATTTATTTCCCTCTCCACCCTTTTTTTTTTTTTTTTCTGTCTCTCTCTCTGTCTGTGGTTTGCCCTCTTGCTTCCAAAGCGCAGCTGAAGGCGAGCTGTACTGGTGTGTGTGTGAGTGTGTGTGCACATACGCGACGGACGATAAGAAGGAAGCAGCATGTTTGGTCAGTCTGCACTCTGCCTGGCGAAGCGTTTTCGCTACAACACAAAGTACCCTTCTTTGGTCTCGTACAACAAACTACCGTGGGAAATACTCAACCATGAAACCCCGGAGTTTCACATGCATGTTGCACCACACTATGAGCAGATTATGACGCTTGCTGCCTCCACACACGTGCCACACATTGTTGGTAAGAAACACTTGGAGATGCCACCGGAGCATCAGCTACGGCTGCTTCCTGGGATGTTTTACATGTTGGATGGCGATTCGATTCCAGAGGGGTTTACCGCCAATCGCGTTTTAGACCCAACGGCACTGCAGTACTACGGCCGCTTGGAAAGTTTAGTTGCCCCTGTGCAGGCGGTGCGGATGTTGATATCGGATGATCTTCGAATTATATGCAACAGCGTCACACTTCAAGGACCTCTGCGATTGCCTGTTGCGTCATATGCGTCATTGGCGTCATTGGATGCCGTTACAAATAAGGCGAGTGCGTCCTTTACATTATTTCACTTTGTAAGACCCAACCGGCCACCGAGTGAGTTACACCTGGAGAAATATTACATCCACGCTCCACGTGCCATGGCGTTAGCGGAGTTTAATTCCAAAAGCAACACAAGTTGGGAACCAAAATTGCAGGCACCGAAGCGCAGCAAGCGGGTGACGCCACTCCCCGCGTACAGGCCGCCTCAAAGTTATTTGATGGGTCTGGCGGAGCGTCTTGCGGTGGTGCCTGGTAGTTCTTTTGGTCGCCGCTCGCTGATGTGGGGTCACTGGTTTTAGCCAGGAACGAATTAATTGGCGGAATGAGCAAATGGCTCTATGGCTTGAGAGAGCATATTAAGTGGGACAAGAAACGTGTACTTTTCATACGTATGCATACATGTAATTTATTATTATTATTATTTTCTTCGTTCTTTTGGCATATTTCTGGTGTGTTTGTCCGTATTGTTGGTATTGAGTAAGTGCTTGCGGTTCAATACACACACAACGTTAAATAGAAAGGGCGCAAAGATTTGGGGTGTTGAGAGCCCCCCGCTTACATTTCTATTAGAAGGTCAAGGAGATACATAGATATATATATAGATATATACATATATAAATATATCGAGACAGTGAGAGAGATCTCCCAAACCGACACGAGGGTTAGTTTTATACGTTTGTGTTAACGTGATGCAGCGGCCCAAAAATAAGAACACATTTGGTGAATCGTATGCAAGGCAAAATGATGTGCCGGTCACGGGAACAAATCCGGTTTCCGCAGCGTTTTTTCCCCAAGAAGACGCCGGTGCGACGAGGGATGTGTTTTGTTCGCGGCGGTGTCACCGATGCAAACGGGTTTTTCAAGTCAAGCTAAATACCGTGATCTTCAAGTATACATGCTGGCGGTGTGGGTGCCCTGTGTGCCAAAATTGTCGCACGCCGTGGCCACATGCCGCCGATATGTGGGCGTGTACTTCATGCGTGCGTCCTATCAGTTTTATTTGGCTCTTCCAGACGACGTACCACGGCGTCGGTCTGCTGCTGCGTGTTCTTGAGTTTTGCGACCCGCGATCAACGCGTATTGTGAAGTTTCTCTTCCCCGCCGCGGCACTGCAGTGCATGGCACGACGCGAGACCCCTGCAAAGCAAACCGCGAGTCGGTGCGAGACGCCGAAGCGGCGGCTATTACTTGTGAAGGCGTCTGATGGCGCGGGAGCTGCAGCGGGATCGTCGGGGGCGCAGCGCCGCGTGTTAGTCGAGCACTCACCTCGTCGCCTGCCCCCGCGGCAGCACCCAACGCAACGGATGGCACGTGCAAAGACAGCCATCAAACGTTGTTCTCCGCCGCAAGAACAACAACAACAGCAAATGCGAGGATATCGTGCACGGACACCCAACGGCATGTCTTCTTACTCTCCACCCAAACGCTTCTCCCTGTCGGATTACAAACTGAGCACCACCACCACTGCCTCCGCCACCAGCAACAACAAAAAAGGTGGAGCCTTCTTTGCGGAGTTTCAAGCGCCAACAAAATTCGCGGTGACGGCGCACGTCGAAAGACACGAATTATCAGCAGAAGTGAGAAGGCCGATGGATGAGGGCAATGGAAACAAATTTTTACGTATTGACGCCACCAAAAAAGTTGGAGGCCGAGTTGATATTCCTCGTATCGACGGTACGCAGCCATCACCAACGCCCAGTGTGTCTGGTTCGCGCTCGGACAGTCCACCACCGCGGTTTCCATCCTTTTCCCAATTTCTAGATGACCGGGGCTCGGCGCTGTTGCTAGAAGAACAGCATTCTCCGCAGCCCCAGCAACAAGATTCACGTGGCGTCGAACAAAAAACTGGAGGGAGGGCGCATAACACGTCCAAAGTCTTTGAGGTGAGGGAAAAGGAAGTGGAGGTTGTGGAGTTAGACGCCTGTCGAGAATCCCGTATCTCCACATGGACTGTCTCCCCAAACCCTATCACACCGCGTCCCTCAAAGATGGGCGGGACGACCGTAACAGGGGGGTCGAGCACCAAAAAGAAGGGCATCTGTTCTCCTCCGCCTCATTTAGGCATGATATCGTTGAATGCATCGCTCTCCATGTCGCAAAGACGACACGTAACAAATGGCGTGAAGCCCTCTGCTGCTACACCTGTGGCAGCCACAGCCGTTACCAACGCCACAACAGCAAGAACCATGATGGCGAATCACTCTATGGCTCCTGTCAATCATGGTATTCATTCCTTTTATCCGATAGCTTCACACCGTCGGACGAAAGCGACCACCGACAACAATATGATTTCCAATACGCCGATGCATTTTAAGCTCCATGCTTCTCGGGGTCCGACGACAGGATCGAGTATTCCTACACGAGTGACTACCCCGCGACCGTTTGCATCTGTCTCATCGACCTTTGGAGGAGTAGTACCGCTCACAGAAAGGCATGTGGGTGCTGCATCCTTCGGTAATCATTCTACGACAGCACATTACCCGAGGACGAGGATGTCTATAAACTTCAAAACAGACAATTTTAGATTACAGCGGATGACTTCGAATATTACCAGTCCACGTTTTGCGCGGAAACCAACGGTACATACTCCAACGACAAGCGGTGGCGTCCCTCTTAGCGCTCGTGCACCTCCGTCCTCTCAGGTGGGAACAAGGTCGATGATAACTTCTCCACGTACAGCACGTCCCCCTGAGCAAAAGAAATCAAAGATTCGAGGAAACATCCCTCCGTCATGTTCACAGACTCCATTAATGCGGAAAACTTCCCCACCACACGCGCGGAATGTGACGCCACGGGGTTCTCATGCCCGGACGCCTTTACAGCGAATTGCGTCGAGTCGTCTCTTACCATCCGGTGAAGCTGCGCGTCGTTATTTACCGACACAGGCCGATGCCGGCGGTAGAGAGCCTCAGATGAAATCGCCTCCAGTTCTGATGATTCACCTTACACGGCAGCGTGGGCCTGTGGTACCGAATGTAACGGAAGAGAAGACACCACGGCCCGCATGCATTCCACAGCCAATGGGCAAGGAACAGCCGGAACAGCAGTACCACGCCCAGCCTGAGGAACCAAGAAAGGAGTAACAAGCGCGTTTGTGGAAGAAGTTTCAAAAATAAATAAATAAAACAAAGAGGAGACGCCTTACGTACAATGTCAACGAACAATATCGGTTTTTCTTTTCTGTAATTTAGTGTTGTTATTCACATGAGTGATTGTGCTCATTCTTTTTTCCACCTTTATCGTATTTTATTCCTTTTTTTGCCCAAACGTACTTATACCTGTTTTTTCCGTTTTTTTTTTTTTTTTTTTTTTTTTTTTTTTTTTTTTTTTTTACGCCCTCTTATTGTTTTTTTGTTTGTTTGTACTTTGTCTCAAATTTAAAAATGTAGGATCACTCATTTGTTGTGTCGCATCATCGGAGGCTCTGTGTGTAGACTTTTTCCTTTTAATTCGCCTCTTAGGTAGCTGCTTGCTCGAGAGACAAACGCTCCCTCATGCACGCGGCTGTGGTCACAAATGTGGGGCTGGTTGTGGATGCCGTTATTGTGGAACGGTGCGTGGATGAAAAAGAGCTGTTGTGTGATCCGGTCGCTCCCAAGTCTTACGTTGCATACGGCAACAGTCAACAAAATTCCTCCTCACAAACAAATTCCAGCTATCCAACACCGCGACGCTTCTCCATTGCCTCTGGCGTCAGTGTTCCTGTGACGCCAATAGGCGAGAACAGCCCCAGATCGTATGCGCTGTTTCAGTCTGTTCTAAACGACAATGTGCACTACGAATGTCACGCCACGAAACGGCCTTTGCAGCAACGATATTTTCACATGTTTGACGTGTTGCCGTTTGGAATGGAAAGCCCATCCTCGGTCTTTGGTGTGACAGGGCGACATACAAGCCGAGGATTGGTTGTTGGAGTTGCTTCAAGTGGATTGTTTGTGGTACGTCCATACTGTAGTGGTGCACCGCTGCAACTCATTCAGTACGGCCCAGATAGGCAGAGAGTCCGTAAAGAGGACGTTGAGTTGATTGCCAAAGTGAGCAATTCGCCAGTCGTAACCGAAGGCATTGCAGCGTTCATGGACATTGCGAAACGTTGGAAAGAGGCGGTTAAAAAGGCATTTCCCCTTGATGGAGAAAAGGATGCCTTCCGACAGGGTCATGCAGAGGCAGGTGAGAGTAGCAGTAGTAATGAAGATGTTGTTAATTTACTAGAGGGAATGGAGTTGTGGTCTTTGAAGGACCTACAATTGCCACCACAACTGGCCCTACATGATCCCATTTCTCCTCTCTGTGTTGGTTCACGGGTATTGGCTCGACGTTTCTGTTCGGATGTTTCATTGCATATCGCCCGTGTTCTTGCTGTAAATTATGATGTCACATACACCTTGGAGTATGAATCCGATGGAGGTATCGATGAGCGTGTTTTACATAATGATATCCATCTCCTGGATGCGTCGGATGCCGAGCAATGTAGCGTTCGTGATAAGGTGACTGTCGCACTTCACAAACAGTTACCAGCCGTCATTATCGTCTGTCTTGGTGATGAAGAGTACCGTATTATTTTGGCTCAAAACCCTAATCGATCCCTTACCATCACACGGCGACAGATTGTATTTATTGCGCCCTTGTTAAAGGAGGCCCTTTACGCCGATCCTCTTATCCTGCAGTGGTTCAGGGATCTTAACCCATCGTGTTCCGGTGTTGTGCCGTGGAAAGAAGTTCGATATTTAATTCTTAGTTGGGAATCTTATGGAAAAAATCTGTCTTTTCAGAAGCTCGGTGAGGTACAGCGGGATTTGTGTATTCATGTTGGCCGTATGGAGCCACAACTGCTGCGCAAAGTACCCGTTCAGGAGGAAGATTTACTTTTGAACTATGCCGAGTTTGAATATGTAATCCTGCGTGCGAGAAACCTGCTATAAAAGGAACAGGATGATAATTGTTTTTTGTTGTTGTTGTTGTTTTTACACATCCATTATGTGAGCCACAGTGGCGTGCGGCCGTGGGGCTGCTGTTTGGATGTATTGGATGGAACTATGTATCAGTATATGCTTGCTTGCCGTAACGCCACTTTGCATTTGACAACAGAGTTGTCTGTGTATGGCGGACTCATGTGTCAATGATTTTTGTCTTTTTCCTTTTTTTTTCTCCCTCTCTCTCTTTCTCTCTCTCCCTGCTTGTGTGTGTGACCCTCTAATGTTTTCATTTTTTTATTTTATTATTTTTTTTTTTTTTGTCTTGGTGCTTGCTCTATGACATTCGATGGATTATGAGGGGAATGTTGCCCACCATAACGAGTCAGATTGCAGGATGGTGCACGGGGCACGGCATTGAGGACATCAACGCGCAATTATGCGTCGTAAGTTGCGGCTTTGACGTTGAGGGCATCGTTTCACATCTCATCCGCCGCGCCCTTGCGGGGTTGTCATCACTCCATGCCTGCGTCTCTTGTGTTGTGTTACCCGATGGCACAAAAAGTGGGACGCTGTCGCGAGTGGCCGCAGCCCTCACGTCTTCCCTCAACAATATAGACGGAAAACGTGTGCAGGTGCACGTGGCCGAGGAGGGCACTTCCACCCGCACTCGCTGCACCTATTACCAAACCGGTGGTGTGGTGGTGTTGAGCAGCCGCATGTTGTGTGCGGATCTGCTGCACAGACGTCTGTCACGTGAACTTGTGGGTATCGCCATTGTGTTGCTGCCGTACGGAACCCCTATGCGCTCAGATAGGGTTGTGCCAAGCATCGCATTCTGTGCGGAAATTCTTCTGCGAGGTGGTGGTGCGATGCAACTATTATCGTGTAGGCGTCATCCACCTTTTATTCTTATTTCAGATAACCCGTGTTTTGTGCGGTATCTTCTACAGCGAAGGCGTATTGGTCAGGAGCCGTTTCTGACAAAGGTGCACGTGGACGAAATACAACTGTTTCCACGTTTTCGTCTCAGTGTGATGCAGCATTTTGAGCAGCTTGCAAAGGAGCGGCCATTGAACGTGGAACGTGTTGCTGTAGGCGTGTCGTCCAGCATCACCGCTATCGACGGGCTGCTCTGTCAGGTCATAAAGGAGGTCATTAGAGAGCTCCATGCTCTTGAGGCACGTTTGGGTCGAACACTGGACGGCAGCGGCAGCGGCAGTAATGACAACAGAAGTGGCAATACCAATAATGTGAATAATAATAGTCTTGACGCGGACGATCCATTCTCGCGTCTGCAGCCCATATCGCGGCGGCAACGGTTGGAAAAACAACCACCGCGTTATGTGCGAAAGCCATGGGTGGTGCCATCGGATCCTACCGTCATTCTTTTTGGGTGTATCCGTGAGGAGGATGCTGTGGATGTCGTGGATTTCACTCTGGATGACGACTTGGACTGTGCCTTACGTGCACATGGACCCTGGTGGCCATTCAGTAGACTCGTTGAAAGCCTCCTTGACGTTCGTCGATTGCGGCGAGGAGTCCGACGTCTCTCTCCGTTTTCGTGGTTATTTGCTCTTGAAGCGGCACTGACAGCACGCGTGGCACGCCAAACACGAGATGTGACTTCGGCAAGGGCATTCACATGTCAGCCGCCCGATGCACCGTGGACGTTGTCAAAACATTTTAGCCCAATCGTTACGCTGGCGATTCACCGCATCGGTAAAGTGGAAATGAGTATTGTGAAGAAGAAGGGAAATGATTTCGACAGTCACAGAAACGGTGATTGCATGAATACAGTTGGAGATTATGTTGTTGTGGAGGACGTGGAGATGGTGGGAGAAGAAGAGGATGTCGTATGTGTGGAGCCAGCGACATCGCAGCGTTTGCTCCTACCGCGCAGTGATGAGGTGGATTCATGCATGGAGTTTGCAAACCGCGTTATACAAGGGTGGTGCCGAGACACACAACGTGGAAGAACTGCAGGGAATGCATCGAATCCCGTGTTTTTACTGATTGTTTTTGGTGAGCGCGCGCTTCGTCGCTATGTATGCCGTCTTACACACACTCTAGAGGATTTCCAGACATTTGAGTTGAACGGTTTTGTTGCGGCTTACCAAGCGAGACATGGTGCTGACATACGCCGACGTGCAGAGGCCCCAGCGACGGAGAAGACAACACATGTGAACCTGCGCACGTGGTTTCTCGCAAACAATGATGAAGTTATGGAGGAGGAGGATGAGGAGGATGAGGAGGTCGCAGGGAATCATAATAATGATGACGAAGATGTTGGAAGTGAGGTTGGGAATGCCGTGAAAAAAGGAGTTGGCATTTGCATAGAGAAGACACCGACGCGTACCCTCTCGCAGGGTCCAAGTTTTCTTTTTTCCCAAAGCAGTAGGTTAAGTCATAACCCCGCCATCAGCAATGATGGGAGTGGCGGAGCGGAGAGTGTTTCACTGCATCAATTACTTCTGAGTCAAGCTCCACTTACGCCGCCATCAGAGGAAGAAGAAAAACAACAACATGAAGAAAAACAAGGGGAGGGAAGGCGCCCCGGGACTCTGTTGTGCCTGGACTCTGTGGGTGCTGGTATTGCTCTCTTGTCTGTGGCGTCTTCCGATTGCAACTTGCCTTCACCTTCTCTACGTGTGGCGGTGGTGAACGGGTCATTGCTATGTGCATCCGAATTGATTTCGATGGTGAAAGGGGTTCATGATGCATTCGCGTTACCGACACGAATTCTTGTGGTGGAGCAGGAGCTCCGCTTCCTTCGCATGTTGGAGATGACCCAAGACGCATTAGAGCCGCAAAGTTTGCGTCAATTGCGGGTGCAGGTGCTAGTGGAGCAATTGCATGAATCGCCGGTCACGGATCGGGTTTTGGAGGAGGAGCGTGAGGCCTTTGAGGCGCTGGCACATGCCAAGGCGACACTGACAGGATCACTTTTAGCAGACAGGAACACGCTACGCGCGGTGCAGGAAAACTTGGATTCGGGGTTAATTCTTAAGAAAAACTTGGGCCGGAGACAACAGGGCCCGCCGGGTCTTTGCGGGAATGAATTGCGTGAAGTGCAAATGTCCACAGTGAGTGGCTCTGCTCCCACGACAACAACCGCTTTGGAGGCTCCGCTCGTTGTGTTTGACGAGCGTGAGTTGCGATCACTGTTGCCGTACGCTTTGTACCGTCGCGGCATTGAACTTGTTCCTCTGACGCTTGCGACAGCCGACTATGTTTTGTCTCCATTGTACGCGCTGGAACGGAAGAGTGCTCCGGACTTCATCCAGTCGTTGTTTTCAGGTCGCATCTTCACGCAGCTCGCAGCTCTCTCTCGACGCTACGAGTTTCCAATGTGTCTTGTTGAATTCGATCGTAGTGCACCGTTTCGCTTGTCTTTTTCATCCCCCTCACCTGCCGCCACAAGTGACGTCTCAGGCCCTGTGGCTCATTTTGAAGGTGGTGGGCTGTTTGCAAGGATTGCACGTCTCTATGCTTCTTTTCCACGGGTGCAGGTGTTGTGGTCACGTGATCCAACACAGTCGGCGGGTATCATACATGAGATGAAGCGCACATTTGCACGGGAGGCGGTGGATCCAAGCACACCATCACTCACACGTGGAAACATCGATCCGCACGACTCCGCCATGGAGAAGGAGGCGTCACATCTTGCGGCCCGTGTCTTGTCATGTTTCCCGGGCATTACACCGGGCAATGCAGCACGAGTCATGGCAGTTTGTGGCTCACTTGCGGGGCTTGCCACTATTGACGAGTCTGCACTCGTGGAAGCCATGGGAGAGGAAAACGCCAAACAGCTATACACCTTCTTGCACGATGATCTTGTCGCCAAGGTTTTTTAGTCGGACATACCGGGAGGGAAGACGTCGTCTTTTTTTTTTTTCTTTCTTTTCTCTCTCTCCCTTCTTCTCCGTACTTTTGTTTGTTTTTACCTTTTTTTTTTGGGGGGGGGGGGGGGGGCATTTGCCGCTTATGATTTCTTTATGTATGTCATTGCCTTGTCTTGAGAAGAAAATGAATTTCTGGGACTTTCATATTATTATTGTTATTATTATTTGTTTGGTTGGTTGGCTTTGAATTTTTTAAATGTGGAGGTGATCATCACACAGTGGAAACAACGTGTGGTGGTGGAAGTTGAGAGGGAAAGTGGGTACATTACACACCGTATCATTCAAATATTATATTATAGAGTGCACTGCACCGTCATATTATTATTATTATTATTATTATTATTATTATTATTATAACTGCGCAACTTATTGCGTGAAGCATCTGTGGGGGAGAAACCCCCTCGTGTTTGCCTTTGAATTTGATGGGTGAAACGAAGACCGACCCGGTGTCCTCGAGGCATGTCTCGCCGAAAGTGTTGCTGGAGGGCCACATCACCAGCACCAACGTCATGGTGGATGTTTTTCAGACCGATTACAATGACTGCTTTCGGTCGTACCGTGTTTGTCAGCGCAACCCCTTTGGACCAAACACGCCGTTTCTTTTACGTATTTTTTCGGTCAACGACGTGATGTTGCTGGTGGTGCTGATTGCTTTAGCGCTTCCGTCCCTGCCCACATTTTTAGGCCCTCTGCAAGGAGCAAATTGGATGTATTTTTCCCTTAACGGTACTGAAAAGAAGATTGACGGTGTCGTTCCTCTTTTGATGGACAAATGGACACCAAATTCGTTTTTGCCGCGTCTGTTTTTGATGATATTTTGTTGTATATTGTCCGTATGGCGTATGGTGGCTGGTTTCCAGCGTGCGCACATTGAAGAGGTGATGGTAATCCGTGGACTTGGAATGCAAATTACGAATTACAATGTGTTTGGTTGGATTTGTTCACAACGGTTTATAGAGCTTAAACTTATCCGTTCTCTTGTTATTCATGATGCCTTTTTTCGATATCAAGCCATTTTTTTTCTTTCCGCAACGATTGAAAACGATGCAATACGTTTGGTACTTTTTGAGGAGACGTTGCCTCGATTGGCAGTGTTGTGTCCTGTTTTATGTGGTTTGAGGCATATTCTATATGAAGAACCTGAGAAGGGTGCCACTTTGGCAGAATTGGAAGGGGTTGAATCAGAACGCCTTGATGACACCATGGAGGGTGAATACAAGGCTACAGATGACGATAGTGATGTCACAGACCGTGAAAATGGCGACTCCTTTGCCTTTACAAATGCACTCGAGAGAGAGAGAAACTATTATGACCCACCGTTGATGGAATTTCTTCACACAAAGTGAAAGAAAGTATAAATACATATATTTATATATATATTCATATATATATTTTTCTTTTCCTTTTTTTTTTTTTTTTTTTTTTTTTTTTTTTTTTTTTTTTTTTTTTTTTTTAAGGG